AGGGAGGCCTTACCTTTTGAGTGATAGAAATGAGTCGCAGCCAAATGAGATGCCACGTCATCAAATAAGTACCACTTCTTTTAGTAACGTTTTGTAAAAATTTTCTTTTAATAAAATAATAATCAATTTTAAAAATTTAAAATTAATTATTAGTAAATTAATTTTTCTTTAATTAACCAATCTACATAATAGAGTGATATTTCTTCCCATTATAATCGGACCATTCATTTTATGATTTGATTATCTTCTTTCTTATTTTAATAATAAGATCAATTATCATACCATTTGATCTCTTTATTCCTTCCATCAATTCTGTCATACAATTTTTTTTTTCCTTTTAATAGAAGAAAGAAGAAAGTTGTTCGTTGTTCTTAAAAGCATATATATATATAAAGTTACTTTGACTAAATCTTCTAATACGCATATTATATCAATCTATATTCCTCACTTCAAGTTTAATTATGTGTATTAACAACTCAAAAAAAGTTTAATTATGTGCACTATTAAAAACAATTTTTTTAAATAAGTACAATTTGAAAGTAAGAAAAAAATTACAATATAATAATATTACCTCATTTAAATTTTAGTTATTATTAAAGTATGAATTCGTGCTCCCAGTTATTCATAAGGATTAGTGCAGTTTTATTAAACTATAAAAGAGAGTTTAGTTGTGTGAATTCTATTTTTTTTTATAAAAATATAAAGAAAAAATTTGACCGCGCTAAAGAAATTTATACTGTAACTCGGAAAAATGCTGAAGGACTTTCACTTTTGGGAGGGCTATAAATTCCTGTGTCTAGCCCTACAATTTGAATAATCCATCACTCCTTTGTTTCCCGACTTTGTTCATCTTTAAGAAAATGGGAAGGTTAATATGGTTTTCCCAAATCCTTTGCCTCTCCTTCATGTTGTTACAGTTTCGAGTCCAAAGCTCCTCACCTTCTCAATCTTCTCCCGATTCACCACCACATTTGTGCCGTCCTGAAGAGCGTTCTGCATTGCTTGATTTCAAAAACACTACTAGGTGGCTGAAATACTGTCCTAGTAGTAGTGATATAATACAAACTTGGAACGAGAGTAAAGACTGCTGCTTGTGGGAGGGCATCACATGCGACAAGATGAAAGGTCACGTGATTGGCCTTGATCTTAGTAGTAATTGCCTTGAAGCCAATCTAACTACAAATAGTAGTCTCTTCCGCCTTGAGAAATTGCAGAGTCTCAACCTCTCTGACAATTATTTTCATTATCCTAACATCTCATTTGGGTTCGACCGTTGGAAGAGTTTGACATATCTTAATCTTTCATGTACGAGATTTCATTTCTTTTTCTTTTGTTTAAAATCTCCATGCTTCCAAAACTGGTTTCACTTCTTCTAATGTGACAAATCTTTAACCTTGCAGTCGCAGATTCAAGATACATGGATGGCTCTCTCCCGTTTGATGAGATCTTCCTGCTACCAAAATTGATTTCACTCGATCTCTCTAATAATTATGGTTTGCTTCTTGACAACATAAAGTTTCAAATGTTTGTGCATAACTTAACAGAATTAAGGTTTCTTATCCTTGATTCTGTGAATATGTCTCTGGTTGTGCCTTCTTCCTTTCTAAACTTGACTTCTTCCTTGGAGCATTTGGGACTTAGCTCTTGTAATTTGCAAGGAAACCTTCCAAACCAAGTTTTTCAGCTTCCATCTCTCCAGCTTCTTAATTTAAGCTACAACTATGATTTAGGAGGTAATTTGCCTGAGTCAAACCAAAGTAGTGCCCTCAAGTATTTGAACCTTGCAAAAACAAACTTCTCAGGAGAGTTTCCTCATTCAATCGGAAATCTTAAACTCGTTGAGGAATTGAACCTCTATCACTGCCAATTTTATGGATCAATTCCTAGATCTCTTGCAAATCTTACCAAGATAACTTACTTGGATTTTGATTCCAACCATTTGCAAAGGCAAATTCCAGATGTTTTTGGGAAAATGCACAAGTTAACTCATTTGAGTTTTTTTAATAACATTTTTGATGGTGAAATTCCTACATCAATCTTCAACCTCACTTATCTTACTTATTTGTCACTGTCGTCAAATAAGCTAAGAGGGCCTCTTCCTTGCAATATAAGTGGACTCTCATTTTTACATACATTTCAAATGGATAATAATTTCATCACAGGTCGTGTACCATCTTGGTTGTTTTCTCTGCCTTCTTTACCCTATTTAGACCTCCAAAATAACAGATTTACTGGACCTATTGATCATGTTGAGATGCCTAATCTCATTTTAAGAGAAGCCAATTTCTTCAATAATGAGATAAGTGGTTCGATTCCTAGCTCTTTCTTTCATCTTGCAAATCTTACTGGAGTCGACCTTTCTTCAAATAATTTAAGTGGCACCATTGCAGCCGACATGCTTTCGAAGCTTGTAAAACTTCAGTATCTTAATCTTTCCAATAATAGTTTGCTGTCTTTGAGCAATAATGACACTGCTGTCAACTATTCCTTCCCGAGCCTTTTCTATTTTAGATTCTCTTCTTGCAACATACAGAAGTTCCCAAGTTTCTTGAGGAAGGCAAAGAGTTTGCAAGAATTGGATATTTCCAAGAACAAGATTTCTGGTCAAATTCACAAATGGGAAATAGAAGGGATGTCGTTGGACATATTAGATCTTTCTTATAACTTCTTGACTGGTATAGATTTATTTGCTTTTGAATCTCTTAGCATTGTTGACCTCAAATCCAACTTACTACAAGGATCACTTCCCATTCTATCACAAACTTGGGATTCTATGGAACAACTCTTCATTTCAGGGAATAATTTGACTGGCGAAATCCCTTCTTATTGCAATTTGACTTTTCTTTGGGTTCTGGATTTAGCTAACAACAGTTTGGGAGGAAAAATTCCAGAATGTCTTGGAAACTTGAGTTATCTCATCATCTTCGATTTGCAGATGAATAAGTTTCATGGTGAAATACCAAATTCTTTCATGATCAACGGGATTAAATTGAGAACTCTTAAATTAAATGGCAACCAGTTGGAAGGGATACTTCCACGGTTTTTGGTTAATTGCAGTTACTTGGAAATTCTAGATGTGGGGAACAACAACTTGAATGATACCTTTCCACATTGGTTAGGTGTTCTTCAATCACTAAAAGTTCTCATCCTTCGATCTAATCGATTTCATGGTGCCATCAACAATTCTATGCCTGCATTTTACTTCCCTCAGTTGAGAATCGTTGATATTGCGCAAAATGATTTTATGGGTCTTTTACCGAGTAACTATTTCAAAATTTTGAAAGGTATGAGAGATATCGCTCCAGTTGATAAAGTATCATTGGAATACATTGGTTATT